TATAGATAATCTTAGAAGTAAAAAAAAATTCTAGAATAATATGGATCTCAGAAGATCAGATGAGAATTTATTGTAAAGAGGCAAATTGGAGTTTTAAAGTCGAACCAAACTTAATTGGTTGCATTAAAATATTTCACATCAAAGTTTAAGAAGAGTACAGTGATAAACCGAACATATGTAAAATTAGTGGCGGGGTGTGTAAGTACAAATGTTATTAAGGAAAAAAAAAGGCTTTTGCAGATTGTAAATATAAATGATATTAGGACAATAATGCTAGAAAGCTATAGTTATGCAAAATATATTATAAGAAAATGCCAATAATTATAAACTATGAATAAAGTGGAAAACAATGATAGTAGGATTTTATAAATTTAGATGTAATAAGAGTGAAGATAATAGAGTTTTAACTGAATTACATCAAGGAAATAATGAAAAATGAGGATTCATAATGCCATTCCGGAATAGTTGGGATGATGAACTTCATCAAGATAAAATTACCATTTTGAGAAATTTTTGCATTACTGTTTATAGATAATTATTTTATTAAAGAACAAAAATAAAGTAAGCATGCTATATGTGCTGTAGATTGATTTAAAAAAATAAAATTGGCTTAATTTTGAAGGATATACACAAAGAGTAAACCTTTTAGTGCATGAGTAATACTGATTGAGATGCAAAGGATTATGAAAGGTATTAAACTATCTTAGTTAAATTATTTTATCAAAATCTTAATGACCAAGTGGATTTCAAATGAGTGGCGAGGAGGCATATTGGTTTCAATATTTAAAAAAATGTAACTATGTTCATAATTATGGTATTGTGGAATTAAATTTATGGAGTCATACAGTAAAGTTACGGGAAAATCAACTTCCTTAACTTCATAGCTATTTCTATTTCCAGTACCTTACCCCGTGCTTCTTAAGAGTTGACTCATATTTATTAAGCAATAATTTTGATTAATTTTTATGCTAGTTTCTTCTGAATGATTTTCTATTTATATGATATATCAAGTAATAGTCTGGGTCTTTTTAGATATTCATAAAGTTTTATCATAAATTAGGCAAGTTTAATCATTATTTAGTTCATTAATATGTGCTATGTAATGCAATATTATTGTAGTGGCAAACGCCAGTTTGTTTGTTGGCTGATATTTTTAAAGAACAACTTCATAAATGATATTCTAATTCTACGTTGATGACATATTCTAGTTGATGAAATTTACATGCATCTATATGTTAGGATATCTAACAACTAAAATAATTATTACAAAAAAAAGAAAGAATAAATTCATCATTGATCTTTCAGAAGGTTCATTTGTGGCTTGAAATTAGAAAATCTTTTTTTTTTTTGAAAAATGATGAGTTTGTTAAAGTCATGATTTGGTTAACTGTTTTTAAAAACCAGCATTAATCTTAACAAATCTTTTCAAACTACCTCAAAAGTGAATTGATGCTGATAATGAGAAAGTGTTATCATGTGAAAGATGCGGCATATACACGATGTCCAATATAATGCTGTTGATTTTCATAATTCAATGAAATGTTTATATTGATATGAAAAGGGGGTATAAATACCCCTACATGAATCCTCTAGTAGGAAAGACAAGAAAATGAAACTAATATGAAAGACAAAATATATCTCCAATTAATCAATTAATAATAATTACATTGAGATAAAGGAAACAACATAAAATAGGAAAGCCTAAAATAAAAAATGAAATAAATCTAATCCAAGGACATAAATCCTAAAATAGGGAAGGAAATAAATCTAATTCAAGAAAATAAATCTAATCATCATTGCAGGAATAAATTATTTTCTAATATAACTTCTAGTACTCTCCCTCAAGTTAAAACATAGTTGACAACCATGTTCAATTTGGATTTGAAAACATCAAATAACTGGTAAGGAAGAAACTTTGTGAGTTAGAACTTGAAAGTCTTGATGCCTAATAGCACTTAGTGTTATTTTTAGTTGGTTGTAATTGTCTTTGACTGCAATTTTTACAGTGTCTGTAACTAGGCGAAAGGTTTTTACAGGTAATGTTGAAGGGAAGTGAACAACCTACATGAAAAGCTGGCTTTTAGTTGATTGTTGTTGTCTTTGACTGCAGTGTCTGTAAGTAGGCAGAAGACTTCTACAAGTAATGTTGCATGAAAGTAGGCAACCAACAGGAAACACTGCAGGGTATGACCTGTAGAAAAGAAATAAGAAAACACTATTGAGGAGGGTTTATTGTAAGAAAGATTCCAGAGGAGGGTCTGATGCAGGAAAGATTCCGAAGGAGGGCTCGCTGCAGGAAAGAGCTCTAGAGGAGGGTCTATAGGTCGACTGCTAGGATTTCATGCCTAAGGAGATTTATAACTTTGCGAAGGGCGCCTTAAAAAAACCGCCACAGTCAATGTTGGGAGATGAAACAGAAACTAGACAAAATGGCGGCATGGTGGAGCAGAAGCGGATTAGGATGCGGAGAGAAAAACAAGAAAAGGAGCTCCAATGTGGCCTCGAGTGGCACCGCCTGAGACTAGGCAAATGGTCTCAAAGGGAAGCTCCATAATGAGGACGACAGAATAGGAGCCGACGCCTGAGCTGGTGATCCAGTTCCTGCCGTCGTCACCGCCACTCAGCTCGCATGTCCAACAACTTCCTTTATAACCCAAGGTGTTTGATGGACACGACATCGACACCTAAAACTTATTGTGATCTCTGCAAGGGTTCCGACAGTAGTGGAAAGGCCTGTAGCCTGCAGGGAGAAAACCTACAGCCGCCGCTGCTGCTAGACAGACTAGTTGTAGCGAAGAAGTCTACAGGGAGAATCCGATGGAAAGGGATCAGCCATTGAGTTTTTTGTAGTTGAACTGAAGAGTTCCAGTGAAGAACTCCATGCAGGAAGAATCTTGCAGGGACTTTTCTCTGCAACTTATGCTTCTTACAGATTCTCCTGAGATGGCTCCTTGGAAGTCGATGAAACAAATGGTGTTCTGCCTGGAATTGCAGTCTACCATGAAACCAGTCCATCCATGGTGCATAATTGATGTTAAGCGCCCCCATCATTTGCTTCCCAAACCAGTCGTTACCCTTTGGATTTTTGATGTTGACAATGGAGGAGAAATGGTTAAGATAGAACTGATCATGTTGAATCCCACTTATAACGAAATTGGTGATCACAAACATCAGTCTTTCTCCCCAATTTGGGAGAAAGGAAACCAGATAAGGTTAACCTATCCAAAACACGATTATGCCAATAATCTCTTGGAAGCGGGATGACACGTTTTTCATGGAAAGAACAAGAAGCGAATTGGGCAAAGAGATTAAGCCTTACAGAGCACATTACTGGATAAAAATTCGTGTTGGTAACAGATCAGAAACCTTGAGATTGAATCGAAGTTTAAGTTCTATCGTAGGAGGAAGGAAGGTAGGGTTTGATCTCAGAGAGTTTAAGGCCTGTAGGAAGGGCACATGTGGTGGAACAGCCTGCAAAGGAGAGATCGGTGGTGGTAGAGTCTCCAAGAAGGGTTACTGAAGATTGAAACCCGCAGCTGAAATTTGTAGGGAAGGAGACCGCCAGATGAATTTTGTAGGGAAGGAAGGAGATCGCCAGCTGAAATAAACTGCATGGAACGAAGGAAGTTTACACGTATAGGGCCTATAGGGAGAGGAAGTTTCCGGTGATAAAACTGTAAAAAATGAGGCGGAGGAAGGGCCTGCAGCACGACAAAGATTGTTGGTTGTAGGGAATAGGAAGTTTCATGTGGCATGAGACTCTAGGGTTTGTTTCAAGGCTCCAATACCATGTTAATTTTTAGAATTCAGCAGAACTTCTATATTGATATGAAAAAGGGATATAAATAGCCTTACATGAATCTTAGAATATGAAAGACAAGAAAAAAAAAAATATGAAAGAAAAAATATAATGCCTGCATCTCTAATTAATCTATTCATAATAATTATTTGGAGAAAAAGAAACGACATAAAATAAAAAAATATAAAATAAGAACAAAATAAATCCAATCCAAAGAATCAAATCCTAAAGTATGAAGGGAAATAAATCCAATCTAAGGAAATTAAATATAATTCTCATAACTTCAAACTGGAATAAGTTAATTCCTAATATAATTTCTTATAAATGTCAATAAATGGGTTCATTTTTGAAAAAAAGGGTTTATGCTTTTCTACTATTAACAAAAAAATTAATTGATTTTTAGCATATTTTTTTCTAAATGTTGTCATTATCTTCCTAAATATATTATTTTATATTTACCATATAGTTGGCATGTTAAAATATTGTTCGGTTCTCCAACATGCACTATTAATAGAATGTTATGTTATTAAAAAATATCTATAGTTTGGTTTGCAAATAACCTTAAACAACAATTTCATAAATGATATTTTTGTTCTATTTTGATGGTATATTAAAGTCCGTCAAATTTGTCTACATCTTTACGACAGTACATCTAATGACTTGAATAAATTATCACAAAAAGAAATATCATAGTCACCATTAATCCTTTTAAGAGGCCATTTAGGATCTTGAATTTAGAAATCATATTTGAAAAAAAAATTGTAAAATTCATCATTTAGTGATATGGTTGGACATGAACATTCATTTTAAACTTCACAAAGTATCTCAAAACAAGCTAAAAAATGATAATTTTATTTTCAAACTGAAAATGAGTGAAAATAATATCATCATTTCTGAAACATATTTTCTATTCACGTGTAATCGAATGAACCTAAACAGCATCATATTGTTATAATGACATTTGAAACAAACAAATCACATTTGATAAATAACATTGCTATATTGATAACATTACTTTCTAAATAACATTAAACCAAACATCTCCACACCCAAAAACATGTTATTCTAAAATCAACTTTATTCAACCGTCTCAATTACATTGTTCTTTTCCTACTTTTCTTATTTGCAAAATTCATAAATGTTTATAACATCATGCATGAGATAAGATCTGTGACAAATAATTGAATTATCTTACATTCAGACTTCTCTTCCTACCAATGAGATAACAAGGGCACTTTCAGGCATGGGATACTGTGTTATGACCTCTGATGATGCGGGCAGGTTTGTCTGCAACTACGTATACTACCACTCGCTTTGCTTCGCAGAGCAGCACAGAATCAAATCCCTCTTCGTGCATTTCCCTCTCTTCTTAACAATCAGTGAGGATACCCAAATGCAATTCGTGGCTTCGCTGCTGGAGGTCATCGCCTCCTTGCAGTATTGAAATCGACGAGGATATCTCGTGTTGTTATGTATATGTTGGACTGTAATTCGGGCATTGGTTCAAAATGCTAAGTTTTTTCCTATAATATGTGTGTTAATGTGTGTATATGTGGTTACTGCAAACAATTTCTGGTCATCCTTGCAATTAATAAATAGTTGAAAAAGGGGTGTGTTGTCATTTTGAAACTTGGAACTTGTCATGAAATATGGGATAAGGGAAATTTTAATTTTTTTTTTTTTTTTTTTTTTTTTTTTGTTTGCATGATGTATGTTTATGGCATATTCTTAAGTTATGATGTTGATGTTTGCTCTCTTGGTAGGCTTATACTGTTCATAAACACAATGGGATCTCCAAACAGACAGAACTAAAAAAATTATAATTATAATTAAAATTAAAGTGTTAATGCTTTGTTATGTTTGGTAAACATGTTTAGTGAGTTAAATAAGAGTTATTAGTAAATAAATAGCTATTTTGGACAGGTTTTCTTGGGAGAATATCTAGTAAATCACTGCGGGCAAATAATACTAGTCATTGCATTATTTATTATTTTATTCAGCTAAGTTATTAGGTAATTAATAGCATAATCAAAATAAAGTATTGAAAATAAATTACTGTTCTATTTAAAAAATTGATTTGTTTAAAATAAAACATTAAAACGTATGAAAATAAATTAAAAAACATATTTTTAAAAAATGAAAATAAAAAATACAAGTAATCTCAGACGGCTCCTTAAATATTTAATGGATGATTGGAGTACTGATAAGTTTTCAATTTCTATACAACGAATACTCAATTTGATGTTAAAGGGGGTATTTTATATTTTATAACGAAGTAGTATTATCAAAATATTATAATTTTGTGTGAACACCGCCTGCCAAATGCTTAAAATATCGTCTCGAGATTCATGTTATGCCTCGAGATTTGTGTTGGATGATGAAAATTTGTTGGTGACGTATCCATAATAGCTTAGAACTAAGATTTATGTGATTTGGATGTGGTCATTTACATACAGACCAAACAATTACTATGTATTTGAGTTTTTAGCACCCAAAATTTGATTTTTACATTCATATCACATAAAAAATATTGTTTTTTTTTTAATTTTCAAATGTGAAATACACAATTTCATAAATGGGTAAGACAGCGGATATATAAAAATTGAAGTTTTGGTGTGGGATACATAAATACATCAGAATGTAGTGATATGGATGTAAATCTTTTTAGAAATCCTCAAATTTTCCTAGTAAGTACATGCATAGTCAAATTTAAGGAAATTAAATTACACGGTGGCCTCGGCGAATCTGATGCGTCATAGATACATATAATGTACGTAATATTTTTGTTGTATTTATGATTTCTATTGTAATTCGGGTAATTTTGTCTTTTGGTTTTATTTATTTGTATGTCATAATCCTCTTCTATAAAATGAGCAGATATTGCATCCGGAGTCCCGACAGTTTTGCATTCGAACTCCAATAAGATCGCGCTATCCATAAAGTGGTGAGCCCAATTTTTGCCTTAAAAAATGGTTAAAAATATTTTTTTTGCGAGACCCAACTTGAAGGCCGCATTTATACCGCAAAAGAAAAAAAAAACACGCTGCGTTGATTCATTTTTACTTTTCACAGGCTCAAGTTTTCATTTGCGATTTTGAGGTTTAGGGCTCTCCTATTTGAAGCGATCTCTCACATGCATTTTAGTTTTTCTCCACCAAACCTCTTATAGCGCGGCTGAGCATTTTAACTTCTTCATCCCCAGACTCTTAAGCACGTCAGAGTTTTTAGCATCTTCGACACCAACATCGGCATTTCAACACCGACACTCAAGACTACACATATGCTTTTTATGAAATGCATAACAAGGTGATATGTTTGGTATGTTTCAAACTAGTTTTGGTTGTAAAAGCTTTTAAACTAATGTTGTTATTTTATATACAATGTTTAGGTTTTACGTTAGCTGTAATGGATCCGAGTAAAGAAAAAAACATCAAATAGAAAGAGAAGAAACCAATGGGTACATAGAGAAAATAAATCAACTTTATTTATTTTCAAGTATTTATCTTTTGTGTAACCGAGAAGGTAATTCTTCTTTTGTGTCATATGTTCAATGTAGAAATTTGCTTGATGCAATATTCTCCGGACTCATTTGCTATAAAACTCCATTTGGCTCAATTGTTGAATGTAACATTTGCAAGTATCCCCTTACAATCATATGTATCACTGACTTTATAATTTTAGAGAAATGATTTTTATTTTGGGAGGTTTATTTGTTCAATGTGTATGAAAAAACAAAAAATATCTTTATTTTATCTTCAGAGAACAATCAATATAAATGTTATTTGCAAGTACCTCAATATTCTATCATGAAGCACCATAATATCATCATATTAACGCCATAATACAATTATAATATTAACACATTACAACCATACTAGCACCAAATTTCCAATGCTACATTATTTACAAACACACCTCACAATACCACTTTACTACCAGAATACTTGACATCACTTTACAACTTGAATATCTCCTGAATACTACCAAAATATCACAAGAATATCATCTAAATATCACCATAATACCATATGAATGCCTCAAAAAATTTTATCAAATATCATCACTACAATGCCACTAGAATATTACCTGAACACCACCAGAATATCACTTGAACACCACAAAAAATTCAATCAAATATCATCACCGGAATACCAAAAAAAATTCAATCAAATATCATCAATGGAATATCACAAAAATACCACAAGAATATCATTTGAATACCACTAGAATTCCACATGAATGCAATCACACCATAATACCAAAATAATACTACCACACAATTTTGGTGGTATTCTGGTGCTGATATTTGATGAAATTTTTTATGGTGTTAAAGTGATATTGTTCTGGTAGTATTCATGTGATATTCTAGTGGTGTTCTTGTGTTTTTTTTGTGGTATTCAGATGTTGTTCTTGTGTTCTAATGACATCTTGGTGATATTTAGATGGTATTATTCAATTTTCTCCACTAATGTTTATTCTCTTACTATATAAGTGCCATGAACCCAAGAATGCTAACATGCAGATGCAGACCTTCTGTTGTTAGATCAGTCCGTGATACAGTTTTTTAGCACCTTAGTAAAGAAAATAAATTTTTTTTAAAAAAAATTTATATCTTAGGCAGTTCTTCGACATGTCACCTTACCATTAAAAAAATTCATTGACTCTGCAAATTTTGAAATGTTGGGACAATGATGAAAAGGATTTTAGAGTAGGTGGGAAATGCTTAAGCTTCAATTCAGACAAGGTAGCCCTGCTCATTGGCATGTTGAATTGTGGAGAAACTGTGCACCAAGATAAATATCCAATATCCAAAGTAAATTTCGTACAAATAAAGAATAACTTATTTATGAACAATATTGAGAACCTTCTGTAGAATTGTGCATAAAGTTTTCCTTGGCAAACTTATTTTTTTCCATAGAGCAATTACAATGTCTTGTGTGGCTTGTATAACTTTTGTGACAAAGTAAAGAGTTTCTCTTCCTTCAAGTGGTCGGCAAGTAATTGTAAATTTTTGGATGAGCAAATTGGTGTTATGGATTGGAAAATAAGACAAAATCAAGGCTTTTGATTGCAATGCATGGTGTTTTTTTTTTTTTGTTAACAGTTAGTATGTCTGATATAACAATAATCTTTTTATTCTCTTAAGGCTTGGGAACTAATAGATTTTACTTTTTTGTAACTTTGGTTTAACGAGCACGTTTCCATCCTTACTCGAACCTCACCTTAAGCAAGGCCTTGAATGCTCATGTGGTCTAAAATGAGACCTTGGATTACAAGAATGGTGGATATTCTTTCTCTAGACTTACATTGAAACGGGCAACAGAGATGTCAACCAATTGGGTGGTATTACATTTTTGTACACAACATGATAATGTAGTTGCTTTATTTATTCTAGAACTATGATTCTTTTGTAGATTTAACCAATGATAAACAATAACTTCTTTCTCAATCAACCCACAATGTATCAAGTCCAATTTCTAGCCCTCTCACTGCTGACTTTAACATCTCCACCCGATACTCGCCCCCTGCACTATTTGCTACACCATCTTCTACTCCTCCCACTCTACCTCACCCTCTTACTCCAATTTCAACTTCAACTCCAATTCCAACAAAATATGAATAAAAAACAGACATTAAAGAACTTCTTCACTTACTCAAAAATCAAGAACATAGAATAACTGATTTGCAAAATAAAATTATCAAGTATTACGAGAAAGCATAAGGAAAAACTATTGTACAAATATTATCTGAGTAGTATGGTCTGGAGAGTTAAAACATGACAAAGCCGGAAGAAGAGGAAATTATAACCTCCTTACAAAGAATTTTCACTAAAGAATATAAAAGCTGAGGACGCCATAGCCAAGCCAAAAGAGAAGGTGGCAAAAGAAGAGGATGTTGGGGAAGCATCAAAGACACTTAAATCCATGTCAGTTAAAGAAAAAAAGAGGAATCAAAGGAATCTGATTTTTTGGTGCTCAAGGAGGGGAATAAGGTTCCAATTCTTGTGCAAGAAGAGAAGAGGGAGAGGATTTGTAGAATTTTCGTTGATGATTACCCAGAAATGATATATTATTTTTTAAGTTTACCATAACATTGCTCCATATTCTAAAGTTCTCTTATTATTTGAAAATAAAACATTAACACACACAACCAGCTTTCCCTATAAGAGATGAGATATCTTTACACATGACTAATTTCATTGATCAATGTTGTTAAATGTTCGCTAATAAGTAAGTATTTCTTTCCAAATTCTAGTTGGTTCTTAATAAGAATATATTTATCTGTCAGATCTTTTATATGTCGTTATTACATTAGTGATACCATGTTTTTTAAAGAGCATTTTGTAATAACATGATCTTCGGTCGATGAACTGTTGGAGAATCAGAAGTTGGCCAACAAACATATTGATGCATTTGCACTTTTACTGGTTGAATCTGCTGGCTGAAAAAGAAATAAAACTCTCAAATTATACAAAATGTACCTGTATATATCACCAATGTATTGAGTAACTATGCACATTGCTTTATAGTTTATGTTATTCATGAATAATTTATACCCTTGCTTATATGTAAATAACATAAGCCAACATAATTTGATAGGTTCGTTTCACTCGAAATATTGGGAGCAAGATTTTAATTAGACACGTCAC